GTCAGCCCTGTGATAAACTGGCAATCTGAACAGGTTGTTCCTTTCCTCTTGCTCAATGTCAGCTGGGATTGGCTCCAGGACTAAAGCGACCCTCTTCAGGAATAAGTGGTATAGACAATGGACGGATGGAATACAAACAATAAGCAGAGCCAAGAATCTTCACCGCAATCAAGAAAGAATGATTTCTGCAAACCAGGACCACAAATGCCCATTTCAACTGGCTCAGTGTTGAGTGCCTTAGCTGCACCATAAGTTAAATAACTTATGATCACAACATATGCCATGTTGTGATCATGGCATATGTTGTGATCATAAGTTATTTAATAGCCCTCTGCCAGAAGGAGAATATCCCTGCTGATACAATAATATTATAGAGCTGGTTTTGCAACTTTGTCACCAAAAGTAAAATTCTTCCTGCAGCCAGTGAACCACAAGTCACAAACAGTAGCAGCTTCACTGGTTTCTGATTTGTTCAGCATAGCATGTCAAAATTCAGCACAAGGTGGATATTTCTCCAAGTACATTGTTACATTAACCAATATGATATAAAGACTATGTATCAAATGGTCCTTTAGGTATAAAACTGATAGCTTAAAAAGTTTTTCTCCCTTCAAAAACAGGATTAAAAAAAAAGTTAATAAAATATTCATTACCTGTAAACATCATCCCATGCTAAGTGAGACAATAGGACCATGAGCAACAACAGTGTATTCTTAAGTGTACTTACAATAGGTCCATCTCCATGCTCCAAGAATGGCTGATGTTGGATGTGCACAATTGCAGGCAGAAGGTACTAAAAGAAACAATAAAAAGGACTGATATCCACATGTAAATTTAACTCACAACACACAAGATTATAGAAGTGCTATGAATACCAACATCATCAGTGGGGTGTACTTCTCATCTCAACTGAAGTGTTACCATTGTGTTAAGTTGCTAAATTGTGTCTGAATGGCTATGTTATACAATAAGCTTACTTCTACCAGAATGCCATCACTAATACTGGTAATTGCAAATCAAAATACCTGATTTAAAACAAGAAAAGAATAAGGGATAAATCGACAGACACTGCCATGATGGTCATTCTACAATATCTTACTGGACTCATTTACTGTAGGTAGTTACTGCAAAACCCACTATGTGAAGAAAGGTCTATAAAAAAATGCTACAACCTGCCAAGTTTGCATTTGACATAACTGGTATTATGTTAAAACAGCTTTAGGAAACAAGGGTGATGACAAATTCAATGTGGGTACCAGTTGAAAGGGTTAGAAAAGTCGTAACTGGGAAAGACTTTACTTACTGCAAGGGTTTTCCCAGACCCAGTCTGAGCAATGCCAACCATATCTTTGCCACTGAGGGCCACTGGCCACCCCTGAGACTGAATTGGAGTTGGGTCAGTCCAGTTCTGTTTTATTATAACATCCATGACATAGCCTGAAGAAATAAGATATGCAAGTTCAACTGTTAGAAGCCAAGTTTTCTGACAATGACACAGTACAAATTTCTGTAGACAGGCTTTCTAAAATGAATTGAATGGTGGCGTGTGATTTCTAACTCACTTGGAAATGCAGCTTCATTGAATTTTACAATTGGTTTGGGGCAATCTCTGCCTTTGACCGTAACTTCTTTACTTCTTCGGTACTGCTCAACCTCTTGCTGGGATTTGAAGAAGAAATTTAAAAAAAATTACCGCAGTCAATAAACATACACACAGGGCCACATGAAAAAGCAAAGAAAGCCACTGATTGTGTGAACCAGAATCTTTGTTTTAGGTGCAAGATAATTTTGTTTTCCTCTTTTTTATTATTTAATGAAATTAAGTTGATGTTAATGTGAGGGTTAAAGGAAAAAAAGAGGCAAATTCAATTAAAGGTCTTACAAGAGGTTTGCGGGTGACATCTGGGTGTTCCTGGTAGAAGTTCTTCTGAAACTTTGGAAGCTCATCAAGGTTCCAGTGCTTCTTTCGCAGCCTCTCACCAGGGTTGCCAAACTTTCCTGAAGGAGGTCCGCCCCTATTGCCTCCACCACCACCAAAACGCGGGGGCCCTCCACCATACCTAAAAAGAGGAACACATAACATGAACAGCCAAAAAGAGCATTTATTAAGGGTCCTCTCCACCAATTTTACATAAAAGGTCAGTTAAGTAGACAGTTAGTAGCAGGTCTGTGACAAGACTGAGGAAATACCCATGACTAGTGATGCTGCACTCGAAGCAGACAACACAACGCTGTATAGACCTTTCAAGGTAAAAGTATCATTGTAAGAGGTTTTGATACTTTGTTTCACCACACCAAAAGTCGCACGACCATCCCAAATGTCAAACTTGTATCAGTGAGGTGTCGAGTACTATATGCAAAACAGAGTGGTTAAAAGTGATCCGTTTTCATAATGCAGGCTTTATTGACACAAATAATAAAAGCTTTAAGGCCACTTGTATTGTATTTCTTCATGTTCTCAGTTTCACTCCACCCATGCACCAAAAACTCGGCCAACAGGTGTCACCATTTTTGCTTGCGTCAGAGGCCTTGAAACAGAACTATTAAGCTCTCCAGCTATTAGTTACTGTCTTGTGTTGTATGAGAAAGCCCTGTTTAATCCATCACTGCCCATGACAGCATTAAGGGCTGCCAATGGGGTCATCTGAGCTTGGTCTGCATAATGAAAGGCGTGTGCTTCAGTCTTTGAAGCTTTAAAAAGTCAGGATATATGTCGATTTTGACCTATTTTAATCTGCCTCTTGTGAGGCCTCCAACTTTATGGACATGCAATGCTAAATCACTGGAATGCCACTAATAACACTGAACTACATGGCCATTCCTCTCTTTCCTGTTTTCTAGAACCACATAAACAAACCACAGAGAAGGGGAAAGGGCTTTAAAACTGTAAAGTGCCCAATTTAAATGCTTAGCACTTGAAAACCGTCGTGTTAATGCATAGAGTTAGATAGTCACAAGTAAGGTTACCAGGCAACATTAAACTGTCAGTTCACTGAACCGGGTTTGTCGTGAATCGTGATTTGCTTCAGCCAATGACAAAAGAGTAACGTTACAGAGCTCAAATTCGCCGCCGGTAAGGTACATTTTAGGCGACACCACCGATGGAAAACGAGTCCGGAGAATTAAATCAGGCATCTGCGCCATAAATCTGTCACGGATTTGCTTCCGCAAGAGGAAACACCACTGCGTCAATTCCAGAAAAACAGTGGGCTGCCGTGCAAACAGAGCTCTCTGCCATTTTACCTCTATCGGCAGAGAGCAGACATTACAAATACGCAGGTACGCTTGACCGAAAAAAAAACTGATTTTGACAATTTAATAAGCGAGTATAGCGAAATAATAACCAACGCTAACGGCGATATAATGTGCTCGACGACTGTCTTGTTTTGACACTGGAGCCATGACAGCATCCCCGCTAGCAACCATCTGCTAAGCGGTTCGTCATGGCTAAATTTGCTAACGCGAAAAAACCCAGAAGCGACACTTAACTTACCCTCTATCTCTGCCACGATCTCTGTCTGAAAACCCAGGCATTGTGTAGAAGACTATGGTGAAAACACGGATTTCGCTTAGATCCCTTTAGCCGGTTAAAAAAATCAGGAAATGAATCTATGAGCTATAATCAGGACCGGTAAAACAAAAAGAAAATGCTGGCAGACAGGACTCTATCTAGAGAGACGGATGTGAGGTCAGACGAGGCGGATAACATTGTATCAATGCGCTGTACTGCGCACCCAGAGCCTGTGGCACTATTTTTTTTCCACCTGTCACCACTAGGAAATGGTAACGAGCGTGTCATTGTTTATTAAAATGGATATATTAATTGCCATATTTTAATTAAATAGTGCCAACTATCTGTGCAGCAGGGCGAGGAGAAGCCCAATGGGCGTGAGATATTTTAAAGCGTTTGGTTATTATAATCAGAATCAGAAAGCTAAAAATATAAAGCTAAATCTGCAGCCTAAATCTAACCACATCTAGGGGGCAAACTCCTGCCATAGGTTTGTTGCGATCTCTGGTGTCAAAGCTTGGCGATTTGAGCACCCAGCAACCCACAGTGAACACCTCCCATACAACATGCAGTAAAGGGCACAAGGTTGCAGCAAAGTCCAGTTGTACAACCAGTCAGATAATCAGGTAGTGATAAACTCTATAGTGTAATCATATAAACATTTATTTGAAAGATAAAGGTCTAACAACTCACAGAAGGTGGAAACATGAGAATGGTTGTATTCAGTATAAAGAACAATATGACACATCCTGTGATCTCTATCTCCATCTTGTGAATTTTCTAACACAACAGTCTTCATTTGACTGATGTAGCCATAAATATGTTTGACATACAGACAAAAAATACTCAGACATTTCACAGAATTTCACAGTGAGGAAACAAAAATATGATTAAATATAGCAACATATGAGGTTTAAATCCTCTAAAAACCACAGATTTTACAAATGAGTGGCCATCTAATTAATCGAATCTAATATTCTTGTGCAAAATCATAAAACGCCATGACACATATAGTCGAAGGTACCACATTCATACAGTGGGTCACATGTGTGAAGAATTGGATACAAAACCTGAAATAAATAAGACATGTCTTTTTGTGCACTTCACATACAAACCCTACAATACCAGGCTTTTAGAACAGCAGTTGTAAAGTCAAATGACTGTAATATATACTGACAGTGAAATGAAAATGTTATTTATGATTAATTTCAAAGCATTCACCTTAATTTGAGACAAAAAGATCAAGATCTTTTGTGTACTGTATAATACAGTAAAACTTTAGCATTGTATGTAAATTAATATTTTTGTCTACAAAGTACAGAAATGATTTTTTAAAAAGTTGCTTGTGTTGGTAGGTCTACTGTGATCTACAAGAACCAGGCAGCATATACAGTAGTTGTTTACTGTTTAATTTAATAAAAACTGCAGTCCCACATTCTGACCTTTCATTCAGGATGCCAGATGTGACGTGATACAACAGAAATAACTGTGAAATGTCCTTGAATAACAATTTCACCTCACACAGTTCTGTGGCCAGTGTTGTCCCGTTCACTCATTCCGAGTCTTTATCTGGTTTAGCAATTCCGAGTCTTTATCTGGTTTAGCATCTGTGTTTTAGAGAAAGACATACAAGACATTTGAATAAGCCCTCGCTTGTTACAGCTGTTTCAATAACCTGTTAACTCTTAATGCAAAGGGACAAACTGACTTGCTAAATTTGTATCTTTAAACAGTATGTTGTCTTTATATGCAAAAGCAAAACACAAAATAACACATTTAATACTCAGAATACAAACACATAAGTGTACAACAACAGAATAAATAGGCCATTATGGACAAATATAGGTGGTAATATTTTACTTACCACAGAGATCCCTGCACATTTCTTTGCTGAGATTTGTATTAGTGGCTTTTAATTGATCAGTTGTGTTCCTGAGATCAGTGATTATTGTCAATAACTGGTTTCTCTCTACATCCCAGCACGCTTTGTCTTGATTCCCTATTGCAGCAAGGGGAAAAAAACAACTCAGTATTCTAATATGACATATTATTATGTAATACATGATGTGCTCGTCTTGTTGTAGTTATTTTTATTATCAGCTGAATCAAGAAAACCCACTTTTGATTCCAAGGCCAATGATTCCAGCCAGGAAGAGAAGACATAGTGCACCCAGAAGCATTGATTCATTTCTGATATGAGACCTCTTTCCTGAATTTTCTCTGATTAGAAACACTTAAGAAAACACCAGGATCACAATTTTTAGAATACTGTACTGGATTGCTGTAAAGCTTGGTGCTCACGCTTGTTGTGTCCATACCTGGGTGCCGAGCCTCTGCAAGTCCTGATATATTTGGTGACTTGCTCTCCACCCAGGGGTTCTCATATATTCTCAGGCTCTCTGCACTGACATAAATGTCCACTTTGCTCTCCTTATCGTCCTGATCGCTGGGAACCTTCTTGATGATGCCCGACTCAGTGTTCAGATATGCCGACATTTTCCTTTTTTGGCTATCAAAAGCGCAGCCCAAACTGTTGCTTTCACTGCTGTATTAACAGTATTACAAAGTTAGTTTATAAACGTGTTGTATTAGTTTTGGCTTTTTTTCTTTGAAAAGGTTGAACACTAAGGCTGATGATGGTGTAAAAGAGGAAGAGCAGAAAAACAGGAAGCTAAAGCTAATTACCATTTTGGGCATTTGCTTGTTTCCTCTAAGTCCACCTGATCATCGGCCATTTGCAGATTTGTAGTCAGTAACCAGAGATAATGGCGAGGGTTTAGTGCCCACTTATTGCTAACTTAAAAGCAAACACACAGTAACAGTGGTGGAAGTACTACTCAGATTGTTTACTTAAATAAAAGTAGCAATACCACAGTGTAAATATACTCTGTTACAAGTAAAAGTCCTGCAATAAAATGTTACTTAAGTAAAAGTACAAAAGTATTTGCATCAAAATATACTTAAAGTACTAAAAGTACTCATTATGCAAAATGGCACAGTTCACATGTATGTGTATCATATTATTGAACTATGAATATACTTCCGGGTTGCAAGCGAGAGC